TCATCAGCATCATCAGCATCATCATCAGCATCATCACCATCACCATCACCATCACCATCATCATCATCATCATCATCATCATCATCATCATCATCATGATCATCATCATCATCATCATCATCATCATCATCATCATCATCATCATCATCATCATCATAATCATCATCCCCTTTCCCTCGCCCTCCTCCTGCTCCTCCTTCTCCTCCTCCTCCTCCTCCTCCCTTCTTCTCCTCCTTCTCCTTCTCCTCCTCCTCCTCGCCCTCCTCCTCCTCGCCCTCCTCCACCTTTTCCTTTCTCCGTCCTGCTCTCAGGGGGGCTGAGTGTCTCGTGTCCAGCTGTGGCATCGCTGCCGACTGGCGTTCCGATGTATTCTTCGGCATCCCCCGCCCCCCCCTCCTTCCCTCCCCTCCCACCCTCTCCCTCCGTCCCCTCGCCCCTCCTTCCCGCCATCTCTCGACCTCCCTCTCGCCTCCTGCACGTCTCCCCCCGCCTCCCCGTCACGACGACGACGACGACGACGACGACGACGACGACGACGACGACGACGACGACGACGACGACGACGACGACGAGGACTCCACTGTGGAGTGGGAGTCCGACGCCGAGCTGCTCTCATGAGGCCCTGCGTGGAGCGCACGCCCACCCCCTTCCACCCCGCCCCCGCCGCCTCTTCCAGGCGCGCCGCGGCCCGCGGCCCCGCACAGCGGCGGGCTCGCACACGCGCACGGGGGGGGGGGGGCGGGGGGGCGGGGCGGGGGGGGGGGGCTGCGCGCGCGCGGCGCTCGCACGCCGCCCTCCTGCGCGCCCTTCGGGCGGCTGCGGCCTGCCTGCGCCCTCCCCGCCCAGCCCGCCCGGCGGCGGCCCGCCGGGCCCGGCAGCTGCCGTTGATTTCCCCGAGTTTACAGCATCATGGGCATAACTGCTCGGCTAGATCGGGCAGTGACATGACCTGCTCCTCCTCACAGGGCGCGACCCCTTGATCTGCTGCCCAGACGGCATCGCTGGCCGCCACATTCGGCACTGGCATCTTGCTGTAGCGAGCTCGCAACCATGTTCTCATGCGTGGATCGATCTCGCCACTCTGTGCAGCGGTCCACTGGCAACCCTGAAACGTTACCGCACACGCCAGGCACATGAAATGTAAGATTTCGGGCCGGGGCGCGTTACATGTTCAAAAACACGCCAGGCGCGTTACGCGCTCAAAGGCACGCCAGGCGCGCTACATGCTCAAAGCCACGCCGGATTGTTCTTCTTCTCCTCCCCCTCCTCCGACGCCTCAACTTGTTACCTGCTAGTGTGCAGCTGCTTGTCGACAGGACGCAGCCTCGAGCTACACTCTTGGCTATGCAGGCGCTAAGTGGATGAACGACGCGCCGGGCCAGCTCTGAGACAGACCTCCGACAGCAAGGGGCCATCCATCCGAAGAGGCCCTAAAAGCATACCCCTAAGCTGTGTAGCACCTGCTGCAGTCGTGACGCCTTTCACGCACTAGGTAGGGAGCAACAGGGCTGAAATATTGGGCTACATCATCCGGTGGTGCAGCCTTATTGGGCCCCCTTTGCATTTCCAAGTATAGCCTTTCGATAAACAAAAACTTATGGTAGCAAGCGGCAGTACCGTGGTTGATACTCTTTCAGCCTCGCTGTTCTGTATTCGCTGGTGCTCTTATAAAAACAATTTGAGAGGGTGTCCGGCAATGCAAGCGAGCTAGACGGCTAGAATGCTGGTTCGCCTTCGTTGCCCATCGGCACCCTTGATGGGCGTGAGGTGAGATTCGGATGATTGGGCGCTGGGCCCGAACAGCTATTCCCAAGCGGTTTGAAATTAGCTTGACAATGAATTATGGCAAACATTCAAGCGTGTCGAGGTCCCTGGTGACGCCCATGGCCTCGAAGTGGTCCAGGTCGGTGCTGGAGGTGAGCATCCGAAGGAATGAGGTCTGGCCTAAGCCGTGGAACAGGGCGTCGGCGGCATCACTGTTGTCGGCGAGGGCCTTCGGCATTTCCACCAGATCCTTCCACTTCGTCCTCCACCTCCAGCCTCGACTCCCACGCCTCTTGGGCCTTCACTGATCGTGCTCCTGGGAGCTTGTCCACCGCCACCTGAGAGGCGGCCATGTGCGTCGGGGGACTCTTCATGGTGGTGCCCTCGTCCTTGAGCTGCCCGGCCTTGGAGCCCGATTCCGCCTCGCCGTGGTTCATGCGCACCGCCGCCGCCGTCCAGGAGGTAAGCTGCGCGAGGGCCTCGGAGTTCTGCTTGTGGACTGGGTCCCTGGCGACGTTCACTGCCTCAATGTGGCCCAGGTCGGTGCTGGAGGTGGGCTTCCAGAAAAGCGGTATCTGGATGCCGACCTCATTCGCCTCCACAAGCGCCTTCAGCTCCTCGGCGCAGGGCTCGACCTCCGCCTCGAACTCCTGTGCCTTCACCATGCTCCCTTGGCGCGAGCACGTATCGGACTTCACGTCCTTGCCGGTAAGCTCACTCTGAAAGCTTCGCCAGCGCTGGCGCGGGGTTGTTGACTGCCGCGGCCTTTGCAACAGCACTCTGGCCCTTTCCCTTGCCGAGGTAGTAAGCGGCGAGCTCTGGGCCTTCGAGCGCGCTCATGGGATCGTTCCCGAGGCTCGTCTCGCACTCCGGCAGCGCAGTTTCGATTTCCTCGGTCACCATGCAGGCATTCTTCACGCGGAGAGTGTCGAAGATGAGCAGGCGCCGCATCTTCTTGGTCAAGCTTTCCGTTTCCTCGCCCAGGGGTCTTCCGAGGACCGACAAAATGTTTTGCGGGTGCACCCTGGAGGGGGCCATCCGCATTACGTGCTCCAGCATATCTGGTTCCCCAGCTTCCCAATGCTCCTACACTTTCTCCTTTACCCATGTCCGTAGCTGCTTCTCGATGATATCGTGCGCAACTACAATGGACCGCTCGATGATATAGGCGAAAACCTTCGACTTCTCCGTAGGCGCCTGCCGCATCAGGCGGCGCAGCTCGTCGACGCTCATGCTCGGTGCGGCCGCCTGCTCCATCCGCAGCTTCTTGATCTTTCCGACAGCTACTCGCTTCTTGATATTTCCCGGCGTTGCCGCGCCGACTCTGGGGAGGCACGCGCGCCTTGGCGCACCTGAAAAGGCTGCTGCAGCGGCCGGGTTCGCCGGCAACGCTAAGGGAAAGCAGTCAAGATTGCTACGGTGCCGCAGTCCTCCTCCTCCTCCTCCTCCTTCTCCTCTTCCTCGTTCCTCGTCGTTTCTGCTCCTCCTCCTCCTCCTCCTCCTCCTCCTCCTCCTCCTCCTCCTTCCCCTCCTCACTCATGCTCCTCCATTCCTCTGCCTTACGAGTAACTTCTCCCTGTCGCACCCCGAGGCTGAGCGAAAGGGCGGGCCGGACATTTCGCCAGAGACATCCTCTCTATTCATGATCTTGAAGCGTGTAACGTGCAACAGCTTCACGGATGGAGGGCGGGTGGTTTTCAAAATGTGGTTCTCGCCATAGCGCCGCGCACACTTGTGTCAAACAGTTGCAAGAGCTTCACGGATGGAGGGCGGTTCCTTTTCAAAAAGGAGCTCTCGCTTTTGCGCCGCGCGCAGTCGTTTTTAAACATTGAAAGAGTTTCAAGGATGGGGCGCGGTTCGCTTTTCTATGTGTGGTTATTGCCGTGGCGCCGCGCATATTCGTGTTAAAAAGTGCAAGAGCGTCATGGATGGAGGGCGGTTCCTTTTTCAGAATGTGGCTCTCGCCTTAGCGCCACGCGCAATCGTTTCAACAGATAGCAGGAAGTTTACGGACGGAGGGCGATTGCTTTTCAAAGTGTGGCTCTCGCCTTGGCGCCGCTCACGAGTTTACATCTGTTTCAAGCATTATCATGGCTAACCGTATACCCTCGAGAATAAACACTAGGGGATAATACAGTTCGGGGTTCAGGGGGAGATAATCAAAGTAGCCCACCAGACCTCAGCATAATTTTGAAGTAAGAGATGATCAAGAGGAGACCAAGCCGAGCACGTTTTGAGACATCCTTGGCGTTTAGTCTTCAAAGAAATATCCTCAACAATGGCTTATCTCGCTGGAGACATCCTCGACAAATCCCTTGTTTCGCTTGAGACATCCACAAACTGTTTCTTATTTCGCTTGAGACACCGTCAAACTATTGCTTATTTCGCTTAAGAAACGTATCGTTTCGCTTGAGACATCCTTCAGTATATGCTTGTTTCGCTTGAGACATCCTCGAGTATATGCTTGTTTCGCTTGAGACATCCTCGGAATAGCTCATCCGCGTCGGTGTCCCTGGATAATCAACCGCGGCGATAATAAAGTTCAGGCGGGCGGAGGAATGGAGAAAACGATATACAATTACCCTGGCGACGTACCCAACCCCTGCGCAAAAGCGGGGCGCAAATAGTTTAGGATACGTTATAAGGGGGCGATGACGGAGCGAGGGTTGCATATGTCTGCAGCCGGAATTCGGGAGACTCGCAGGACACTGGCTACAGGAAAAGGGCTTGATAAAACTGATGAGTTACAATTCCTGGGCACTCCTAGCCACTTCGAAAATGGTGATCACAGCAGGCCTCGAAAGTGGCGACAGTTTCACAAATCGCAGCCCCGCAGGGATGGCGAGGTCTAATTTGGGTCCGCGCGTGGCGTCACTGTGCTGGGCCCCCCAGCAGGCCTCGAAAGTGGCGACAGCTTCACAGATCGCAGCCTCCAGGGGATGGCGAGGTCTCCTTTGAATCTGCCCGTGGCGTCACTGCGCTGGGCCCCCCAGCAGGCCTCGAAGGTGGCGACAGTTTCACAGATCGCAGCCCCCAAGGGATGGAGAGGTCTCGTTTGAATATGCCCGTGGCGTAACTGTGCAGGGCCCCCCAGCAGGTCTCGAAAGTGGCGACAGTTTCACAGATCGCAACCTCCCCAGAGATGGCGAGGTCTAATTTGAATCCGCGCGTGGCCCTCACTGTGCTGGGCCCCCCAGCAGGCCTCGAAAATGGCGACAGTTTCACAGATCGCAGCCCCCCAGGGATGGCGAGGTCTCGTTTGAATCTGCCCGTGGCGTCACTGTGCTGGGCCCCCCAGCAGGCCTCGAAAGTGGCGACAGTTTCACAGATCGCACCCCCCCAGGGATGGCGAGGTCTCATTTGAATCTGCCCGTGGCCCTCACTGTGCTGGGCCCTCCAGCAGGCCTCGAAAATGGCGACAGTTTCACAGATCGCTCCCCCCCAGGGATGGCGAGGTCTAATTTGAATCTGCCCGTGGCGTCACTGTGCTGGGCCCCCCAGCAGGCCTCGAAAATGGCGACAGTTTCACAGATCGCAGCCCCCCCAGGGATGGCGAGGTCTCATTTGAATCTGCCCGTGGCCCTCACTGTGCTGGCCCCCCCAGCAGGCCTCGAAAATGCGTGGCAGTTTCACAGATCGCAGCCCCCCAGGGATGGCGAGGTCTAATTTGAATCCGCGCGTCACCCTCACTGTGCTGGGCCCCCCAGCAGGCCTCGAAAATTGCGACAGTTTCACAGATCGCAGCCCCCCCAGGGATGTCGAGGTCTAATTTGAATCTGCCCGTGGCCCTCACTGTGCTGGGCCCCCAAGCAGGCCTCGAAAATGGCGACAGTTTCACAGATCGCAGCCCCCCCAGAGATGGCGAGGTCTAATTTGAATCTGCCCGTGGCCCTCACTGTGCTGGGCCCCCCAGCAGGCCTCGAAAATGGCGACAGTTTCACAGATCGCAGCCCCCCAGGGATGGCGAGGTCTAATTTGAATCTGCCCGTGGCCCTCACTGTGCTGGGCCCCCCAGCAGGCCTCGAAAATGGCGACAGTTTCACAGATCGCAGCCCCCCAGGGATGGCGAGGTCTAATTTGAATCTGCGCGTGGCCCTCACTGTGCTGGGCCCCCCAGCAGGCCTCGAAAATGGCGACAGTTTCACAGATCGCAGCCCCCCAGGGATGGCGAGGTCTAATTTGAATCTGCCCGTGGCCCTCACTGTGCTGGGCCCCCCAGCAGGCCTCGAAAATGGCGACAGTTTCACAGATCGCAGCCCCCCAGGGATGGCGAGGTCTAATTTGAATCTGCCCGTGGCCCTCACTGTGCTGGGCCCCCCAGCAGGCCTCGAAAATGGCGACAGTTTCACAGATCGCAGCCCCCCAGGGATGGCGAGGTCTAATTTGAATCTGCCCGTGGCCCTCACTGTGCTGGGGCCCCCAGCAGGCCTCGAAACTGGCGACAGTTTCACAGCCCCCCGCAGGCAAGACAGAAAGAGGCAGGAACGAGGCGGGAGGCGGGAGGAGGAAGGACGCGACCACACTGCTCTATTCAAAACGAATACCCAACCAAGGAGGGTTGGGAAAAAACAAAAATAAAACGAAACAATAAGAAATGAAACAGAAAAAGGAAACACATCAAAAAGAAAAGAAAACAGAGGAGGAGGAGAAAGAGAAGGAAAAACCTCAAGTTCAAATGTATTAGATTTTTATTTACAAGCGCTTTATGGAAATAAAGATCTTTAAGTGCTCGTGTAGGGTAGCTCATGTGCTTCATTTTCCATGGATAATCAACCCCAGGGATAAAAAAGTTCAGAGGGGGGCATGGAGAGAGAGAGAGAGAGAAAGAGAGAGAGAGAGAGAAAGAGAGATACACCATAAAGAAAAAGAAATGAAGGACTTAAAGAGAGAAGATATATTTAAAAATGAAAAGTAGAATAGTAAATGAAAAGGATAAAGAGAAGAGGAAATGAGGATAAAACAAAAAATCTGCAGATTCAAATATATTAAATTTTATTTACAAGCGCTTTATGAAAATTAAAATTTTTAAGTGCTCGTGTAGGGTAGCTCACGTGCCTCGTTTTCCCTGGATAATCAACCCCAGCGATAAACAAGTTCAGGGCGCCAGGGGGAGGAGGAGGAGAAAGAGATAGAGAGACAGAGAGAGAGAGAGACAGAGAGGCCAGGAAGGAGAAAGAGATAGAGAGACAGAGAGAGAGAGAGAAAGAGAGACAGAGAAAGAAAGAAAGAGAGACAGAAAGAACTACAAAGAGACAGAAGGACATTGGTTTCGCTTGAGACATCCTGAAACAACGTGTTCGCTTCGCTTGATGTTGTTATCTCAACATAAGAAGGAAGTAACTTCGATGGCGAACTTTTCCCGTGATAATGAAGTTCGGCCTCCGCGCCCCCGCGCCCCCGACCAAACTCTTATTGGTCGACGATCAAAAACTCTAACGACTTAAGGGGGGGGGGTAACTTGATTATCATCGGCATCTGGTTACCGTCTCAGCCATGGGGGTTTGCCTTGATGTCGGGCTATCAGGGCGCAACAGTTACGTGAATTTGCTGTGCTGAAGTCCCAAGGACGGTGTTCTGGCACGATTCAGGACCGTCAAGATTCAACAGCGAAGGTGATTCGGAGCGTTGAAATCCCAGGGATCGTGTTCTGGTACAGCTCAAAACATGTGAACGGTTGCCTTCCAACGGGGCACTTCCGTCAGTGAACATGACTGCTTGTATGGGGCCTCTGAAGAGGGAACTTCGAAGAAGGAGGGTTTCTTGCAATATCGTTGATGGAACTTGGGTTTACACTGGCCGTCACTCCTCCTCCCCCTCCCACTTGTCACTCCTCGTCCTCCTCGATCCTCCGCCTCCTCCTCCTCCTCCTCATCATCATCATCGCTCCTCAGTCTCCCTCCTCCTCCACCTCCTCCGCCTCCTCCTCCACCTTCTCCTCCTCCTCCTCCTCCTCGTCATCGCTCCTCAGTCCCCATCCTCCTCCTCCTCGTCGCTCCTCAGTCCCCCTCCTCCTCCTCATCATCCTTCTCCCCGTCACCCTCGCCGCGACGTTTGTGCTTGGTCGGCGGGGAAGTTCGCATTCGCGGCCGCCCTGCGCACTGTGCCGTCCCATGCCACTCCGCCAGGCTCCCTCGGGCCGATCCTGAAACATGCCCTTCCTCTTCCTCCTCCTCCTCCTCCTCCTCCTCCTCTTCCTCCTCCTCCTCTTCCTCCTTCTCCTCCTCCTCCTCCTCCTCCTCCTCCTCGTCCTCATCACCCTCGTGCCCCGCTTGCCCAGCAGATGCCCCTCGTCCTTGCTCCCCTGCTCCCTCGTCTCCGTAATTATCAGTGTCGCGCTCGCGCGGGCAGTAGGTCCTGCGCTCGAGTGCCCAGGGGGGGCGCCCTCGTTCGCCGCGGCCGCGCTGGCGGGAGCGCCAGCGTGCTGGCGGAGGATGAAGACCTTGCCGAGCGGCTCAGGCTCTGGCTCGGGCTCTGGCTCTCTCTCTCTCTCTGACTCGGGCTCTGACTCGGGCTCTGGCTCTCTTTTTTTTGTTTGTTCTCTCTCTCTCTCTCTCTCGTTCTATGTATCGATCACGGGACTGCTCATGCTCGTGGCCGCCTCCTGTTCGTGACAGCCCCTTGGGGGACAAGGGGGGGGACCCGCAACAAGAGAAGGGGGGTGCTAACGACCCCTGGGGGGGTGGAGTTGGACCCCCCCCCCTTTCCTTCCTCTTCTGCACCGGAGGAGGGTGGGGTGCACCGGAGGAGGCGTCGTGGGGCGCGCCCAAGAGGCGCGCGGGGCGCGGCATGGAACTCTGCCGCCACCGCCGCCGCCGTCGGCGTCGTCGTCGGCGTCGTCATCGTCGGCGTCGTCGTCACGGTCGCCGCCGTCGTTTTTCTTGGCCTTTCTTGTTCGATGTTCGACGTCTTCGGATGCTTTCTTTGTCCCCTGCCCGCCCCGGGATGCTCTCCAGCAGCTGCGCCTCGCCGAGAGCGTTCTGCGGGTGCCCTCTCGAACGGCCGCCAGAGGCCCGAGTTATGACGAGGAAACCACTCCTCCTCCTCCGCCTCCTCCTCTTCCTCCTCCTCCTCCCTCCTCCTCCTCCTCCTCCTCCTCCTCCTCCTCCTCCTCCTCCTCCTCCTCCCCCTCGTCCTCCTCCTCCTCCTCCTCCTCCTCCTCCTCCTCCTCCTCCTCCATCCCTCTTCTTAAGGATAATGGCGCGCTTCCTCTCCGTCTGGCCATCAGGCGTGTCGGTAGGGCGGGCCAGGCGTTCATGACACCGGATGTTGCAATGTCCAGCGCTGGTAATGATCTTAAGCTTGTGGCTCTCGCCCGAGCGCCGCTGACATTCGTCCTCAAGGCTTCCAGCAGCTGCACCGGGAGGTCTTCTTTCTCTCAAGTTGGGTTTTTTGCCTCAGGGCCGCGCGGGGCCCTCTTCCCAGAGGTGCACGACGGAAGGTCTTCGGCCGTCTTCGGCCCTCGCCGGGCTGGGCCCCTTGCCGGGCCTCGGGGCTGTCAGACATGCTCTCTGGATGACGAGCGGAGCTGGCCCCGGGGAAAGGGTCGGGACTTCGGGGAGCCCGTCTCGAAGAAATCAGGACACTGCGTGCCCGGGTTGGCCCGTGCTGGGCCCCCCGCTGGCTCGTGCCAGGGTTCTCGGGGCGGTGTTGGAGCCGACGTGGGCTCATCCCTGGCCGTCTCCACGGGCCCTCGGCTGTCTTGAGCCCCCCTTAGGGGGCACCCGCCCCTGGGGGCACTCCTGGGGGCGTCCCAGGGGCGCGGGCCCCCGGCGGACGGGCAGGTCGACGCGGCTGGACAAAATACGGGCTCGGGTCGCGATCATTCGGGAGACGGCAGTTCTTTGGCACCGTCGGGTCTCGGGAGAGGCCCTCTTGGAAGCCTTCTCCGGCAGGCGGCGGGGGCGGCGAAGGCTTTTTCGGCCCATGCCGCCACCGTGCCCAGGTCGTGGGCGAGACGACCGTTGAAGACCTCTTAGGGTTCAGCGGGAGGGCCACGTTTGCGGTCCATCGTCGACTCGGCAAAGGCAGCAGGAAGAAGGAGGAAGATAATCAGGACGAGGATAGGGGAACGAAAAATGGCACAAACATAGAAACTCGGAGGTCCGCGCGGATTTCTCGGATCCGCGCTGGACCCCTTGGCGTGCTCCGCGCGCCAGGGAGGGGGGTCCAGCGCGGATCCAAGAGGATGAGAAGGATGAACGTCCACAGCCATTTTGAATCGGAGGTTCAGCTCCACGGCGTGGAGTCACACAGGATTCCTTCGACGGGCTTCTAAGCCCCTGGCGTGTTGCAGCAATGCCGAACTTCACAACGGAGCAGATCCGGACCATCATGGACGCGACGGACTCGATCCGTTCCATGTCTGTCATCGCACACGTGGACCACGGGAAGTCCACGCTGACGGATTCGCTCATCTGCAAGGCTGGCATCATCTCTGCGAAAGCAGCAGGCGATGCACGCTTCACCGACACAAGAGCAGACGAGCAGGAGCGTGGCGTGACCATCAAAAGCACTGGAGTCTCTCTGTACTTCGAATATGATGATGACGATGGCAAGGGCGCCAAGCCGCATCTGATCAACCTCATCGATTCCCCTGGCCACGTGGATTTCTCTTCTGAGGTCACAGCCGCCCTCCGCATCACCGACGGCGCCATGGTCGTCGTCGATTGCATCGAGGGCTGCGCGGTGCAGACGGAGACCGTGCTGCGCCAGGCCCTGGCGGAGCGCGTGAAGCCGTGCTTGTTTGTGAACAAAGTGGACCGCTGCATTCTGGAGTTGCAGATGGAGCCCGAGGACATGTATCAGCGCTTCCGCAAGGCAATCGAGGATGTGAACGTGATCATTGCAACATACAACGACGAGTTGATGGGAGACAACCAGGTGAACCCTGACAAGGGCACGGTGGCCTTCGGGAGCGGCCTGCATGGATGGGGGTTCAACGTGGAGCGGTTCGCGAAGATCTACGCCGCGAAGATGGGCGTTGACAAGGACAAGATGATGAAGCGCCTGTGGGGCGAGTCCTTCTTCAACGCCAAGAAGAAGACTTGGACCAACGTCATGCAGCCCGAGGGGTGCGACAAGCCTTTGCCTCGAGCCTTCTGCCAGTTCATCATGACCCCGATCAACCAGCTGATGCGTGCGATCATGGACGACCAGAAGGACAAGTACTCGAAGATGATGGAGACGCTCGGCATCGTCCTCAAGGGCGACGACAGGGCCCTGACAGGCAAGCCCCTGATGAAGCGCTCGATGCAGATTTGGATCAACGCAGCCGACACCCTCCTCAACATGATCGTCTCCAAGCTGCCGTCGCCTCGTCAGGCGCAGAAGTACCGCGTGGAGAATCTGTACGAGGGACCCATGGACGACGCAGCGGCGAACGCAATCCGCGCCTGCGACAAAGATGGAGGGCTGATGATGTACGTGTCCAAGATGGTGCCCACCAGCGACAAGGGCCGATTCCACGCCTTCGGCCGCGTCTTCAGCGGCACCATCGCGACCGGGCAAAAGGTGCGAATCCAGGGCCCGCACTATACGCCAGGAAGCAAGGAGGATCTCAACGTTAAGAGCATCCAGCGCACCGTGCTGATGATGGGCAGGTCGGTCGAGCAGATCGCCGATGTGCCTTGCGGCAACACCGTGGCCCTGGTGGGTGTGGACCAGTACCTCCTGAAGTCAGGGACCATCACCACCATCGAGGACGCCCACAACATCGCCGACATGAAGTACAGCGTGTCGCCCGTGGTCAAGGTGGCCGTGAAGGTGAAGGATGGCAAGGACCTGCCCAAGCTTGTCGAGGGTCTCAAGAAGCTCTCCAAGTCTGACCCGCTGGTTATCTGCACGACCGAGGAGAGCGGGGAGCACGTGATCGCTGGCTGCGGCGAGCTGCACGTCGAGATCTGCCTCAAGGACCTCCGGGAGGAGTACGCACAGTGTGACTTCATCGTCTCCGACCCCGTCGTCTCCTACCGCGAGACCGTCTCCGAGACGTCCACGCAGACGGCCCTGGCCAAGTCGCCGAACAAGCACAACCGCATCTACCTGGAGGCGGAGCCGATGGCGGAAGAGATCAGCAAGGACATCGAGGACGGCAAGCTCGGCCCCAAGGCGGACGCGAAGGAGCGCGCTAAACTTTTCCGTGAGAAGTACGACTGGGACGAGTCTGCGGCGCGCAAGATTTGGTGCTGGGGTCCAGAGACCGAGGGCGCCAACGTCGTCGTCGACGTCACGCAGGCAATCCAGTACCTCCTGGAAATCAAGGAGCACGTCAACAGCGCCTTCCAGTGGGCCACCAAGGAGGGGCCCCTGTGCGAGGAGAACATGCGCGGCATCCGCTTCAACCTCACAGACTGCACCCTGCACACCGACTCCATCCACCGCGGCGCAGGGCAGATCATGCCGCCCACGCGCCGCGCGTGCTTCGCGGCGGAGATGCTCGGCAAGCCGACGCTGCAGGAGCCCGTCTTCCTCGTGGAGATCACGTGCCCCCAGGAGGCCATGAGCGGCGTGTACAACTGCATGAACCTGCGCCGCGGCTGCGTGTTCGAGGAGAACCCTCGCGAGGGCACGCCGCTGATCCAGGTCAAGGCGTACCTGCCGGTGTCGGAGTCCTTCGGCTTCGTCTCTGCGTTGCGGCAGGCGACCTCGGGTCAGGCTTTCCCCCAGTGCGTCTTCGATCACTGGGAGAACATGCCAGGCAATGCCATGGAGGTGGGGAGCAAGATGAATGAGCTGGTCCTGGCCGTTCGAAAGCGCAAGAACATCAAGGTCGAAATCCCCGCCCTCCACGACTACCTGGACAAGCTCTGAGTCAGCACGGAAGGCTGCCCGGCACCGTCGGTGGCCGAGGGGGCAGCGGAGTGGCTGCGAATCTTATGTACGCCGAGGGCATCTTCGGCGGGACGGGTCTCGAAAGTTTCATGGGTAATCGGGTCACGATCCGAAGTTCCTTGGCACGTAGGAGTAATTCCCGGCTCACAGACTTCCCGCAGCGCGCGCGTGCGCGCTTCCCTCGGTTCCTTTCGTTGATCGTGCGCCCCTAAGGCGACCGCTCGGCGCTAGGATTGGGGCGAATCATGGAACAGTTAGTGGACTTGTGCCCATCCCACCACCGCGCCTGAGTTGTGGAGCAGAGGCCCCGTGGACTCACACAAATGTATCTTGAGATGCCTCTCCGAGGCCTCTTGAAGAGCTCTTGGAGGCCCCTTTGGAGGCCCCTTGGCGGCCTCCGGGGGGCCTGCTGCAGTTCTCCGGGGTCATCTTGGGGCGGAGGGCTCCAGTGCAAGTTCGTGTTCCCCCCTCTCGGGGCCGTCTTGGGCCGTATTGGGGCCCTCTTTGAGGCCTCTTGGGCCGCCTTGGAGCGTCGGAAGCCCAAAGGGGGAGAACGTCGAAGCGCTTACACATCAGAATGATATATGTGATGTCTGCCTCTTGGAGGTCCTCTTGGAGGTCCTCTTGGAGGTCCTCTTGAGGGGTTAGTTGGGCATCTTGGGCCGTCTTGAGGGCATCTTGGGCCGTCGTGGAGCGCTACTGGACCGTCTCAGGGCCCTCGTGGACCGTCTGGGCCTCTGGCGTCCACACTGCTTCGTCCCGGGGCCCTCCTGCGGCAAGCGCCGAGAGCCTTGCGCGAACACGCGGAACCGCACAGGAAATCCGTGAGTTGGGTGTCTCGGCCCCCTAGAGAGTGCTGCTGACGGAACGCAACATCGAGGATTGAGGACTCTCAATTGCAGACTTGGGGACTCTACTCATTGCCTCTCGGCACGGTGGCGGGTTTTGGCAAGCGAGGCCCTGTTGGAATTGTCTGCCGCGGACGATTATGTTCAAAAAAGTTGCATTCCTTGCTCAATGATGTCATCTGCCCTGCCGTGCTTTGACCGTCGAATGCGAAGTACGTGCTCAGCCCGTTTGAGATCAGATGCAACTTGTCTTCGGCGAGTCTGCCTGTGTCCAAGTCTCGTTCAGACCACGGAGAGCGTCAGTCTTACTGCGCATGTGCAGTGTGGTGGGGAGACGTGCTCGGGCACTCGCGATCTTCTCCGTCGAACGGCCTGGGGACGGTTGCGCCCGTGTGGGTCTTGTAGGAGACTGACCCTCGCAGGGATAGGACCGAGAACGAATAGGAATACGACGGCAACGATGATCAACAAATCATCAACGATGATCAGTGCGATGCTGCTGATGTTTTGTTGCTCGCGTGTCTCGCAACATGTATACCCCAAGGCCCAAAACCATCGATACCCATCCTCTTCGTCTTCGATTGCGTCCCCTCTGGGGGTGTATTGGCGTTACATCCCACGCGTAGTTGGCGCAGCCCCCGAGATAGGAAGAACCGGGCGTAAGGAGAATGAAGAGTGTGAAAGAGAGAGAGGGAGAGAGGGAGCGAGAGAGAGAGAGAGAGAGTGACGGAGGGAGGAGGAAATTGTTGTCGCTTCGCGACTCCCCACCAGCCCATCCAGAAACGATGCCCAGAGGAATTGCCTCGATCAGAGAAGTGGGCAGCACACAGAGGAAGCCATTATGAGACATCTTGGGATATCTTGAGCCATCTTGGAGGTCATTTTGGGCTCTCCCAGACGCTCTTGGAGTCATCTTAATCCGTGCCCCCCCCCAAGAGGCCTCCATGTGGCTAAAACCTGTGTAGAATCAATGATTAGGCATTCTCGCCGAGGCCTCTTGGAGCATCTTGGGTGCATCTGGGGGGGCTCTTGGGGCCTCTTGGGGGTCTCTTGGGGGCCTCCGGGGGGCCTCTTGGGGGCCTCTTGGGGCCATTTTGGGGCCATCTTGGGACCTCTTGGGGCTTCCTGGGCGCTTCTTGGGGCCATCTTGGAGGAGATCGATCAAACAAGAGGGGGGGTTTAATTAGCGCCCCCCCTCGGAAGCCCCTAAAATCGCCTCTTGGACCCCTCTTGGAACGCTCTTGGAGTGCTCTTGGGCGCTCTTGGGGCCGTCTTGGGGCTCTTTTGGGGCTCTCTTGGGGCCCTCTTGGGCCATCTTGGAACCATCTCCAGGCCTCGGATGGCCATCGGAAGCGAAAAGGCGAGAAAGCAAAAATCATTGATTTTCCTTAGGTTTTGGGACGATTTTGGCCTCTTCGGGGCCTCCTTGGGGAGCTGTTTGGCCACTTGGAGTTATCTTGGGGCCGTCTTTGGGCTTCTTGGAACCATCTTAGGAGCCATCTCGAGCGATCTTGCGCTATCTTGAGCCATCTTGGAGCTCATCTTGGGTTCTCTGAGGCGCTCTTGGAGCCGTCTTGGGCCATCTGGGACGCTCTAACTACCCGCGGCCCCCCCCGTCCAGGTCCAGGGGAGGGGGTAGGGGGAGGGGTAAACCCCTCCCCAAGGGGGAAGAGGGAGGGGTGGAAGAGGATCTGCTCTAGACCACCTACGCCCAGAGGGCTGGTGGGACTTGAGGGGAGGGGGGCAGGAGTGAGAGGAGGGGATTGAGGAGGGAACGCGAGGGGAGGGGGGGCAGGAGGGAGAGGAGCCCGAGACACGAGGAGGCCCGGCATGCGGATCCTCACGGGCAGGCCGGGCGGGCGGAGCCCTCGAGCGACTCGGGCGGGCGGGCCCGCAGTGGGCGGGCCGGGCGGGCGGGGCAGCGACAGCGAGCGGGCGGGCTCTCAAACCGGCGAGCGGGCGGCCTCTGCGGTCGCGTCGGGCGGCCGGGCCCTGCCGGGCAGCACGGGGCGGGCGGGCCCCCCTCCTCCTCCCCTCCTCCTCCTCCTCCTCCCTCCTCCTCCTCCTCCTCCTCTCTCCTCCTCCTCCTCCTCCTCCTCCTCCCCTCCTCCTCCCTCCTCCCTCCTCCTCCTCCTCCTCCTTCCTCCTCCCCTCCTCCTCCTCCTCCTCCTCCTCCTCCTCCTCCTCCTCCTCCTCCTCCTCCTCCTCCTCCTCCTCCTCCTCCCTCCCTCCCTCCTCCTCCTCCGCCTCCGCCTCCTCCTCCTCCTCTCCTCCCCTCCTCCTCCTCCTCCTCCCTCCTCCTCCTCCTCCTCCTCTCCTCCCTCCTCCTCCTCCTCCTCCTCCTCCTCCTCCTCCTCCTCCTCCTCTCCTCCTCCTCCTCCTCCTCCTCCTCCTCCTCCCTCCTCCTCTGGGCGGATTGGCCCCGACGGGCGCGTCGGGCGGGGACACTGAAGCGGGCGGGCGGGGTTCCAAACAAGCGAGCGGGCGGACCCTCTGACTGGCGGGCCGGCCTGGCGGGCCTTGACGAGTGGGCCGGGCGGGCGGGGCGTGGACGCGATGTTTTTTTTCGACTAAACGTAAGAGTGACCTTTCGCCGGAGTGACCTTTGGTGCGGGCACAGATGGGTCCCCAGATGGCTAAAAACGAAGCAGGAGCAGCGGCTTGCGCGCCTCGGTTTGGTCCCCCCGCGGCCCCCAGAAAGCCGCGCACCAAAGGTCACTCTTACCCAGGGTCACTCTTGCGTGTAGCCGATTTGTAAGCTGTGAAGAATCCGCAGGCGAGGGTGCGATTCTGGAGTAACTTGTGAGAGAGCCTCGTGCGAGCGCGCGAGTCTTGGACGTCGAGGGCGCAGCCCCGGAGTTCAAAAGTCAGCATGTCAGAAGGTGCCAGGCGAGAGCGCGATATTTGCGAGGATGTCTCGGGCGCGAGCTCGATCTGGCGGGAGCTGTTGGGTTTTCATGTTTGAAGGATAAGTATCGTTGATCCCCCCGGTGCCCAAATTGTTTTTTCACATTCCGTGGCTCGGATGGTAACGTGCTGAGTTCATTTACGTCTGCCTTCTTTGAACGCCTTCCCACGCACTGTCCTAGCCAAGCCGGTGGCTGGCATGGTGGCGTGCTGATCTCATTTCACACGGTGCGACACGCCTCCCCCTCCTCCTGCCTGCTTCCAACCTCGTTGTCTCTTTCATCCCTCCTCGTCGAGAAGCTCCCCGTGGGTGGAGGCTTGGCACCGGTTCTCATGGTGTCAATGTCACACACTCCACGGAGCACGCTGTCAGGAGCTTTATTCGCCAGCTGGGTGAGGTGCAACCGGTCGCTTTCTTTGTTCACCAAGCGGCTTGGCGCCCTCGCCTTGCCGATGATGGCGTCAGCAGCGCCCGATGCATTGGATTGGGTTCCCAGGCACGGGGGTCGCGCATTTGATGAAGAGGTGGGGCCATGTGGCTTGTAAATCCCATGGGACCTTGTGTCCAGTCCCCCGGGGATGCAAACCCAGTTGCGCGTGCTAGGTGTTTCGGCAGGGTTGAGGCCGTTTGAAGGTCACCCTACGCACCAGCCGTCACGCTTAGGCTACGAGTCGCCGACGACGTGGTCACCCCCCTGTGCCCTGATTGGTTTGCGATTAAGCCACGTGTGTGGCAGCAACGTGCATGCTCCTCGTCGAGAAGCCCCAGCGAACGCGCGAACGGACAATGAGGGAACCTACAGCAGTCCCACATCACATGTCCTGCATCCTGTCCACGGCCGCTCCGGCTTATTTTCTCGACCTGAATTCTACAGATCTCATGCCGACCATAAGCGATGACTGCAGCGATCTCACCGGGCTAGGTTTCGGCGTTCTGATTCCCTCCCCCCTCCACGCGCTTACCTTTCCGAGTGGTTTGTTCCGCCTCCCCCCCATCCATCTTCCATTTGTTCGGAGAGCCCCTTTCAAACGGACAACACGGGAGCCAGCGTGAGGCGCCTCGTGGTCATCAGGTTCTCGGCTTCAACGAGCCCCGATGGGCCACCCAAGCAGCATTGGAAATCGCAAAGCCCTTGTAAGACCCGAAGACGCACGCATGCAATACATGAAGCAGACCCCCATACAGGGCCGAACGACTGCCCAAGACCGCCCCGAGGTAACCGGAGACGCCCATGACACACAAGCCAAACACATGAACCCTTCCAGAGGGGCACCGCAGTTTTGTTCGAAGCTCCCCACCTGCTTCCCTCCCAATCTTCCTTTGCGCCCCCTCTTCGCCCCTTCCGCTCCCCTCCTCCTCCTCTCCTCCCCTCCTCCCCTCCTCCTCCCCTCCTCCTCCCCTCCTCCCCTCCTCCTCCTCCTCTCCTCCCCTCCTCCTCCTCCTGCTCCTCCTCCTCCCCTCCTCCATCCTCTCGCCTGCCAGCTCCTTCGTTCTTCATCTTCTCCATCCGCCCTCAACATCCTCGGGGAGCCCCGCCAAGTCCAGAGGCGGACAACAACGGAACCAACACGGGGCCGCCCTGTTGTTCCCCTCCCTCCTTGCCCCTGCCGATGTCACCAGTCATCCCCGCCTGCATTCCAATTTCGGGGTTCCTGGCTCTATCAGGTGTGCTTGTTTTTGTCAAATGACATTCCAATCCCAGGGTTCGCACCTGGTGCTATCACCAGGGGAAGTTTTGCGTGTCAGATTGGGCTGTTGGCCCAGAACTATAACAACAGCAGCAACAACAACAACACCAACAACAACAACAACAACAACAACAACAACAACAACTACAACAACAACAACAACGACAACGGCAACGACAACGACAACGACAACGACAACGACAACGACAACCACAACAACCACAACAACGACAGCCGCAACAACCACAACAAGAACAACAACAACAACAACAACAACAACGGCTCCCGCTTGGTACTTCGTCAGGATGTATTGAAGAGTCGCGTTTGATCTCTCTCTCTCTCTCTCGTCCTCGGTGCATGCTGGCAAATTACCGAAGAATCGCGCTCTCGCGTGGGACTTCCGAGCGATGTATTCAGACGCTGCGCCCTCGACGCTCAGGGATTACACTCTCGCTCTGGAGTTCCTCACGATCCACTTGGAAATCGCGCTCTCGCTGGATGGGCCCTGGCGATTTATGAAAAACCCACGCTTCAGCGGCCCGCCCGCTCAACC